AATCGTCCCCTGACCATTTGTTGCAAACTATTTTTGGATATGTTCCTCCTGTAGAGGGACAGGCCCGACTTCAGGCAAGCCTGCAGGAACTCGTGGCGCTCGCCTCGGGACGCCAAGACGCGCGGGGCTCTGGAGAACCCCCCCCTGCAGAGTCTGGCGCGCTCTGGGCCGTGACGGGGCCCCGCCGGCCGAGGCTGCGGGCCGGTTCGGGGCCCCGCCGGCCGAGGCTGCGGGGGCTCCCCCCCCTCCTGAGCTTTCCCCTCGCGGCCCGAGGCTTCCGCAGGCCTTCCGGCAGAGAAGCACAGCATGCAAATCGGTACTGTTACCAGCCTCGAACGTATCCCTATCCCTAAGATTGACACGCCAAAAGGCGATGACAATCTTAGGGATCCGCCCTCAAAAAATAAGGGAATCCCTAAGATTGGCATCGTGATGAGGAGGTGCCCGGCATTGGGATAGGGATATGTTCCAGGCTGGTAATACTAGTCAATGTAACGCAGGGCGAATAAATTCACAGACAGCAACGCAAATCAATGTAATGCAATGCAGAACTGCGCAAAGCAATGCCAAGTAACACGAAGCAATGCAAAGCAATGTGGCGACGAGGCGGCGGGCGGCGACGACGCGGCGACAGGGCGGCGGCTTCGGCCACAGGGCGGCGGCTTCGGCATGATGTCTTACCCACAGCTCTCCAGGCCTTCCGGGGCAGTCCAGGAAGGCCACCAGAGCCGCCAAGAGTTCCCGAGACGGCCTCAAGCGTCGCCCCGCAGCCTCCGAGAAGACCCCAGGGCCCCAGGAGGCGCCGAGGAGCTTTCAAAACTTTGGGGAAACGGGCAAGAGGCCTACCAGGAAGACCAAAGCAAAAGGTTCCAAACACCTAAGGAACTCATCCGGTGGTTGCATGTCCTATGTTTCCCGCCACTCTCGGCTCAAGATGGTTCTAAGAGGGCATTCGAGTCGAGAAGCCAAGAGAAAGTCGAACAACCCAGTGAGGGCCCTATAAAAAAACAAGTGCAGGCGGCTCAGGGCAGTCCCAGGTGGGCTCCAGGACGGCCCAAGAGGGGCCCAGGACAGCCCAGTTCAGTTCAGCTGGGGCGGTATCAGCCCAAAAACTAGCACGCTGAGCTGCGCCGCGATCACATACTGCGACGAGCGACGCGTTGGCCACTCTCACAAGTCTGTGCACGAAAACACCCCCGATCTGAAATACCAGGCTCTGATGGGAGGAGGAGGAGGAGGAGGAGGAAGCAGGGGAGGGAGAGGGACGGGAGGGGAAGAACGAGGAGGAGGCCTGGGAGCGGCAGTCACAGGTGGATTACAGGACGGCCTGGGAGCGGCGGGAGGAGGCCAGGACAGCCCAGCAGGGCCAAAAGATGGAAACAAGAGAGCGCCAAGAGGCCCCCACGACGGCCCCGGCAGGCCCACCCGACGGCCCAGCACAAGACGGCCCCAGATGACCTCAGGAAGCCCGAAAAGGGCCCCGAGAGCGCCGCAAGATGGCACCACTGGACGCCAAGACGGCCCATAACGGCCCAGCACCAGACGCGGCCCAGGATGACCCCTGGAAGCCGGCAAAGAGAGCCCCAGAGGGCCGCAGGATGGCACCGCTGCAGACCAAGCCAGCCCCAAGACGGCCCAGGCAGGCCTCACGAGAACCACATCGAGGAACAGAAGCGAGAGATGCCACAAATTACAGTGGGGGCGCGCCTCAAGTAACCATGTGCGCTTCGTCAGGGTATCCTGGGGTTCTCTTCGCTCCGCCCGCTGGGCGGCGACTTCCCGCAGCCGTTGAAGGAGCTGCTGCGTTCAGGGCGCTCCCGGATTCCCCACAGACACACCTCGCGCGCGGGTTTTCAGGGTTGGGTTAAGTCGGGCGTGTCCCCCGACAGAGGGATTTTCGATGAAAAATCCGGCCGCTCCCGCCCTGCGGGTTGGGCCGTGCGAGACCTCTCTGACAGAGTGTTTGGCACAGTCTTTGGCCCCCTTCTCCAGTGCCTGGTCAAAAACCTCCTGAAAGTCCCTCCGAGGGGGCCCCACTCTGCCGCCGGCCCCCCGCCGCCCCCCCCCCCTTTAAGGTCTCAAACGGCCCGGGGACGACCCAAGGGCGCCCCAAGCCGGTCCTAGAGAGTCCCGAGCAGTCCAAGAGAGCCTCCAGACGGCTCCAGATCGCTCCAAGACGCCCAAGATGGCCTCCAGACGGCCCAAGACGCCTCCAAGACGGCCCAAGAGGCCTCCAAGAGCACGCCCAAGAGAGCCCCAACATGCAAAAATCATTGATTTTTCAATGGTTTTCGAAGGATTTTCGCGTTCTCGCCATTTCGGCTTACCCACGCTCCAAGACGGCCCAAGAGGCCCCCAAGATCGCCCCAGGACGGCCCAACAAGCCCCCAAGAGGGCTCCAAGACGGCGCAAGAGGGCCCCAAGACGGCCCAAGAGGCACCCAGAACGGCCTAAGAGAGGCCCCAGGACGGCCCCAAGAGGGCGCTCAGAAGGGGAACCCGAATGAACATTTTGAGCTTTCGGTCCCAAGAGGCCCCCAGGGGGCTCTTAGAGGCCCCCAGGAGGCCCCCAAGAGGCTCCAAGAGAGCCCCCAAAGGCCCCAAGAGGCCCCCAAGAGGCTCACAAGAAGCCCCCAGGAGGCCCTCAAGAGGCCCTAAACTCCCCCGCAGAGGCCCCGAGAGCCCTCTCGAGACCCCAAGAAGCGTCCACGAGGACTCCGACCCAAAACCCAAGCACGGTGGCGGGATGGGCCGCGCCACGTCACGACTTTCGATGCTGCGCGATCTTCGGCAAACTCCCAGGGAGAGGCCGGTGATGCGCCGCCGGCGTCCTCGATCCGGCCGCTCCCGCCCGGCGGGTTGGGCCGTGCGAGACCTCTCTGACAGAGTGTCTGGCACAGTCTTTGGCCCCCTTCTCCAGGTGCCTGGTCAAAAACCTCCTGAAAGTCCCTCCGAGGGGGCCCCACTCTGCCGCCGGCCCCACTCTGCCGCCGGCCCCCTTCAAGGTCTCAAACGGCCCGGGGACGACCCAAGGGCGCCCCAAGCCGGTCCAAGAGAGTCCCGAGCAGTCCAAGAGAGCCTCCAGACGGTTCCAGATCGCTCCAAGACGCCCAAGATGGCCTCCAGACGGCCCAAGACGCCTCCAAGACGGCCCAAGAGGGCTCCAAGAGCACCCCCAAGACAGCCCCGAGAAGCAAAAATCATTGATTTTTCTACGGTTTTTGAAGGATTTTCACGTTCACGCCATTTCGGCTTACCCACGCTCCACGACGGCCCAAGAGGCCCCCAAGATCGCCCCAGGACGGCCCAACAGGCCCCCAAGACGGCCCCAAGACGGCCCAAGAGGGCCCCAAGACCGCCCAAGAGGCCCCCGAGACGGCCCAAGAGGGGCCCCAGGATGGCCCCAAGAGGAGGCCCAGAAGGGGTACCCGAATGAACATGTCGAGCTTTCGGCTCAAGAGGCCCCCAGGAGGCCCTAGGAGGCCCCCGGGAGGCCCCCAAGAAGCCCCAAGAGAGCCCCCAGAGGCCCCAAGAGGGCCCCCAGAGGTCTCCACGAAGCCCCTGGGACGCCCCCAAGAGGCCCCGAAACTCCCCCGCAGAGCCCCCGAGAGCCCTCTCGCGAGACCCTAAGAAGCGTCCATGAGGACTCCGACCCAAAACCCACGCGTCACGACTTTCGATGCTGCGCGCCACTTCGGTAAACTCCCAGGGAGCGGCCGGTGATGCGCCGCCGGCGTCCTCGATAAAAAATACCCTAAAAATATCCCAAAAAGGTCCAAAAATATTCGAAAAATAGTCCCCAGACTATTTTTGGATTATTTTTGGACTATGTTCGGGGTATTTTTTATTGTTCGTCGAAAATCCCCCTGTAGGGGGACAGGCCCGACTTAAGGGTTGGGTTTCTTGCGAGGGCTTCTTGCGGCCGCGCCCCTCGCTGTACAGCACTCCGGGCGCCGCCCCGCAGGGTGCTGCGCCGGCACGGCGGCGGCAGCGGCTGCTTCAGGCACCCGGGTGCAGGAGTCAGTGTCTTCCCCAGCCTCGAACGTATCCGTATCCCTAAGATTGACACGCCAAAAGGCGATGACAATCTTAGGGATTCGCCCTCAAAAAAATAAGGGAATCCCTAAGATTAGCATCGTGATGAGGAGGTGCCCAGCCTGGTAATGTCTGCGCTCGTCCATGGCTGCAAGCTGGTGCTGCTCTGTGCGCACGGAAGGCCACGGGAAGAGTGGGAAACTGGGGTCGTAGGGAGTACAGGAAATCGCCTCCCCTCGACCTCTGCATCCGACCCATCCTCGGCCGCAGTTCCCCCACCCCCCGCCTCCGCCTCGTTCCTCCGCCTCATCCGCCTCATTCCTCCACTTCTTCGACTGTCCACCCCGCTCCCTCTCCTCAGCCTCTTCCTCCACCTCCTCCGCCTCCTGCTCCTCCTCCTCCTCCTCGCACTCCTCCACCGACGACGACGACGAAAGCGGCGGCGAAACCAATAATCAAGACGATTACGCAAACGAGGATTACGACGAGGGCCGTGAGGACGAGGACGACCATGACGAAAAGGACGATTACGATTGCGACGACGAAGGACGACGACGACGACGACGATTACGACGATTACGGCGACGACGACGACGACGACGACGACGACGACGACGACGACGACGACGACGACGACTGCCAACCACGACAAAGACGACGCCGACGACGAAGATCTCTCGGCGGCTCGAAAACGGAAACGGCCACGAATCCAGATCTCCGACGTCATTGTATTGCTCACATAGACCTCGAAAGGCCTAGACCGCTTCCGCAAGACGGATTTTCATCCTGGGCTGTTTTCGTACCCTCACAGGGGACCAGCGAGGGCTCCTGGGCCGAAAATTACCAACATCGTCCGCCGTGATTTTCTCAAAACGAAAAGGGAAGGAGCGAGGACGAGGCGGAAGAGGAGGAGGCGGCCCCGGGTCGGCTGCAGCGGAGGCGTTCGACGGCCTATCCCAGGGCGAGATGCTCAACACAAGGCAGAACGTGATGAACGAGATTGGGAAGATGTTCAAGCCGAAGCGGGAGGAGCAGGCAGGGCTCAGGCAGGGAGGTCGTCTGCGCTTTCGCGGGCGGTTTCATGCAGTGCTACATGGCTGCAGGTGGAGGAGGAGGAGGAGGAGGAGGATAGAGAAGGAACTAACTGCATAAGCCAATTCGTTGGGAGCTTAGAGAGGATACTTTAATCGGCGCTGGGACCCCCTCCCGGGCGCGCGGAGCGCGCCAGGGGCGGAGCCGGAGGCGCTGCCGGGGGGTCCCACCGCGATACAAGAAATCTGCGCAACGAGCACTTTACAGACTTGCAGTATGTTGGCCTTCGATTGCCATACATCGGGGGAAGAAGAAGAGGAGGAAACGCAAGAGAAGAAGCAGATGGAAGAGGAGGGGGAGGAGGCGGAGAGGGAGGACGAGGAGAAGATGAGAGAGAGAGGAGCAAAAGGAGAAGGAGGAGGAGGAGCAAGAGGAGGAGGAGGAACAGCAGAAGGAGGAGGAAGAGGAGGAGGAGGAGCAACCGGAGGAGCATGAGGAGGAGAAGAAGCAAGAGGAGGAGGAGGAGGACGAGGAGGTGAAGGAAGAGGAGGAGGAGGAGAAAAAGGAGGAGGAGCAAAAGGAGGAGGAGGGGGACAAGGGAGGGGAGGAGGAGGAGGAGGAGGAGGAGGAGGAGGCATTGGGATTGGAATTGGCCCTTCGCGATGCGAAATGGAGGAGGAGGAGGAGGAGGAGGAGGAGGAGGGGGCAAAGCAAGAGGAGAAGCAAGAGGGGGAAAAGGAGGAAGAAGGAGGAAGAGGAGGAGAGGAGAGGGAGGAGCGAAAGGAGGAGAAGGAGGAGGAGGAGCAAGAGCAAGAGCAAGCGCACGAGCAAGAACAAGAGAAACAGGAGAAGCAGATGGATAGGGCATCGCAGGCGCGCCTGGCAGCGTGAGCAACCCGTCCCCGTGGCGGCGGCCCTGATCGAAGGCGCCTCTGCGCAGCAGGGGCGGGACGGGCGCGGATGCCGCGCGGCTGATGCAAGGAACGCGGGCGGGAGCCAGGCAGCAGAAACACGTGGGAGGACAAGGAGGAGGAGGAGGAGGAGGAGGAGCAGGAGGAGGAGGAAGAGGAGGAGGATGAGGAGGGGGAGGAGGAGAAGAGAAGGAGGTAGAGGTAGGAGGAGAGGAGGAGGAGGGGAGGAGAGGCGGAAAGAAGGGTGAAGGTAGGAGGAGATGAGGAGAGGGGGAAGAGGAGTACGGGAATGGAAGAGAAGGAAGAAGAGGGGAGGAGGAGGAGAAGGAGAGGAGTCGAGGAATAGACGGAGAAAACTGAGGAGGAGGGAGAGAGGAAGGAGGAGGAGGAGGAGTGAGGTAGGATGAGGTAGGAGGAGGGAGGAGGAGGAGGAGGAGGAAGGGGAGGAGGACGACGAGGACGATGACGAGGACGACGACGATGACGAGGAGGAGGAAGAGCCTTACTCCGCTGGACCCACCAGCAGCCCTCGAAAGTGGCATTTCGCAGATCGCAGCCTCCCAGGGACGGCGAGGTCTCCCTCAGGCCTGCGCGGTGCCTCACTCCGCTGGACCCACCAGCAGCCCTCGTAAGTGGCGACAGTTTCGCAGATCGCAGCCCCCCAGGGACGGCGAGGTCTACCTCAGGTCTGCGCGGCGCCTCACTCCGCTGGACCCACCAGCAGCCCTCGAAAGTGGCGACGGTTTCGCAGATCGCAGCCTCCCAGCGACGGCGAAGAGAGGGCAGGAGGAGGCGGGAGGAGGCGGGAGGAGGAGACGCGACCGCGGTGCTCTATGCAGAACGAATACCCAACCAGGGAGGGTTGGGAACAAAAAAACCTCCCCCCCTGCCCCCCTCCGTCCCTGCCCGAACTCCCTCCCTCCCTCCCTGCCTCCCCCTCCCCCCTCCCCCCCCTCCCTCCCGTCCTCCCTCCCCTCCCCCTCCCCGCCGCCCCCCTCCCTCCCTCCTCCCTCCACAAACAAGTGTGATGAAAAACTCTCCCTCTTCCCCTGATGGCGTCCGGGTGGATGGCGCGGCACGCCTCCGCGTTATTGTTTTTTACTCTCAGGAATTCCCAGGGAAATCCTCAAACGACTCTCGCTGAGACGCCGGCGTCATTTTTTCCCCAAATGCTGCTTTCATTGAGGCGCCGGCTTCATTTCTGCTCCCGAATCGTTCCGAATCGTGCTCCCGCTGCAGCGTGGGCCTCATTTTCGGATCGGTGTTTGGCCTCCGTCGTTCAGGATGGCGTTCTCGCCCCAGCGCGGGCCATTTTCTCGCGCGCCCATCCGCCCGCCACCACCGCGCCGCACCGCCACCACCACCACCACCACCACCACCACCACCACCACCACCACCACCACCACCACCACCACCACCACCACAACCACCAGCACCAGCACCAGTACCAACACCACCACCACCAGCACCACCACCACCACAACCAACCACCACCACCACCACCACCTCCACCACCACCACCACCACCACCACCCACGACAACCACGCACACACGCACGCACGCACGCACGTGCACCACCACCCACTACGCACGCGCGCGCGGAGCCACAGGTCCGCTACGACACGCGTCCGCGGATAGAGAAAATCAGCGCCATGGTACGGGATGGGAGGGTGGGGTAGGACGTCAGATATGACGCGAGCGCACCTAGCTTGCCTCCCCCCCTCCCCCCCTCCCTCCCTCCCTCCCTCCCTCCCTCCCCCCCCGCCCCCAAGCCGCGGCCCTGGCGCCACGCTCGCCTTGCATCCGGCGTCCACCGGGGGTCCCAGGCCCGCATCGCGAGGGGCGTGCACCCCTCCAGAAGTGAAGGGGCTCCAGAACACACAAATAAATACACACAAATCAAAAGATGCCCCATATTTTCCCATGTTTTCTGGGTGTTTGTCTCCCCCCCCACTTCCCATGTTTTCCCACATTTCCTGGGGAATCGACGATTCATTGTGTCTGTGCGCTGCTCTCCCTCCTGAAAGGAGGCGTGCTCCTCGGCCCCTCGGGCGGCAGGCGCCAGAGCGGCCGGGTGCCGGCGACGGCGCGGGCCACCCCGACGGCAAAAGAGAGACTGCAGGCAAGGAGGAGGAGGGGAGGAGAGAGCGGGAAGGCCGCCGGGCGCCGGGCGTCGGGCAGCGGGGGGGCGAGCGCAGTGGAGGAGGAGGAGTCGGGAGGAGGAGGAAGGAGGAGGAGGAGGAGGAGAGGAGGAGGAGGAGGAGGTAGGAGGAGGTGAGGAGAAGGAGGGAGGGAGGAGGAGGATATGGGAGGAGGGGAGGGGGGGGGGGTGGGGGGGGGGGGGGGGGGGGGTGGTGGGGGGGGGGGGGGGGGGGCGGGAGAGGTGCACCTCATGTGCCCTGAAGGGGGCCCCCCTGGGACCCCAACGGGGCACGAAAGGTGCGCGCCTCCTCCCCCCCCCCACTCAGGGCCCCCCCCATCGCCCACCAGTGGGAAGAAGTGGGCAAAAGCCTGAAGCAGGAGGGCGGGCAAAGTGGGCCGGCTTCGGGCCCGCCCCGAGTCACAAAACGCGGCAAGAGCAGATCGATCCTTGAAGCAGGAGGTCGCTCGAGGCACACCGGGCTCTGGGAATCCCAAAATGCCTGCCTTCAGCGACCGGTGGGTAATCCACGCCCCCAGGTGGAAGGCGCCAAACCAGCTGGGTGCCGGCGACAGGGGCAGCCGCCCCGGGCAGCAAAAACGACAGGCGCAAGGAGGGAGAAGGGGGGAGAGCACAGGAAGGCCGAGGTCGGGCATGTCCTCCTAAGCGGCGCATGTGAGCAGGAAATTCAAGAAAATATGTTATGGATCTTCGTTTTCCCCTCGGCTCCCCACGTTTTCCACCTTTTCGTGGGAGAATCGGCGCTCCTTTGCGTCCGTGTCTTTTTCCTTCCTTCGGAGGCGCGTCGAAGTCCGAGCAGGCGCAAAAATCGTCCCCAGAGCATCCTTCTTATGTTTGAGTGTTCCTCCTGTAGAGGGACGCGCCCGACAAGGGGAAGGCCCAGGAGACGGCAGGAGAGAGAACGGCCGGAGAGCAGGAGAGCCCGAAGAGAAGGCCGCCCTGCCCCCCCACTCTCTCTCCCTCCGCTCGGGGAAACAAACTGGCGTGCAGCGGAGGCCAGTTCACAGGAAACCTTACACAAGAGGCCCAACCCTGAGACCCCAGGACGTCCCTTGACTTTTCGCGCGGGAGCGTCACGCTTCCCACAGCAAGGCCATCGAAGTCCAAGAAACCCAGGGCACCCTGGAGGCAAGCAGGGTGTCTCTTGGCATGGGTCTCCACTGTAAGCAAAATTTCTCTGGGGACCGCGAGGGGGCCCAGCGCCGATCCAAGGAATCCGCGCAGGCCTCCGAGGAAGCATGCTCCTGACATGTTTCGCTGCTCTTCGCCTCATCTCCCTTCCTCCCCCCCCCTCGTCGCTCCGTCCCCCCCGCGTCGCTCCCTCCCTCCCCCTCGTCCCTCCCTCCCCCCTCCGTCCATCCCTCCCCCCCTGTCCCTCCGTCCCCTCCCCCCCCACCCCGTCCCCTCCCCAACCCCCACCCCCGCGTCCTCACCCCGTCCTTCCCTCTTCCCCCTGCCCGCCCGTCCCTCCCCCTCCCGCTCCCCGCCCTCTCCGCCTCCCCCCTCCCCCCCTTCTCCCTCCGCATCTCCTCCCCCTCTGCGCCGAGACGCTTCCACCCTCTCTCTCTCGCTCGTCGCCGGGCCTTCGAACTGGGAGCGATCGGCGCCGATGACCATGCCGCGGCCGCACGGGGTGCCGTCGCGGTGCTGCCCGTCGTAGACCTTGCTGCGGGGCGGCGTCGGCGTCGGGGAGCAGTTGCGGAGGGGCGCACGGCACCCCGCCCGCCCCCCCCCACACACACACAAGGGGAGAGGGGCGAGGAGAATGGAGGAGCTCGCTTTTCTGTCGGAAGAAGAAGTCATCAAGCGTTTGAAAAAAGAGAGATCTATACACATATATCTATATATGTATCTAACAAAAAAAGATGATGGAGAAGGAGAGAAGACGAGGAGGAGAGAGACGAGGAGGAGGAGGAAGAGGAGGAGGAGGAGGAGGACGACGGAAATGCTGAGGGAGGACGAGAAGGTGGAGGTGGGGGGAGGAGGACTCAGGACTCAAGAGCTCTTAAAAGAGCTCCACGAGGGAACCTCTGCCAGCGATGTGCAACAGGGCGGAGGATGAGGCGAGTGAGGATGGGGACGGCGACCGGGAAGGAAGCAACGTATGGAAACCAAGCACCCGAACAGCACGACAAGGTAAATGTTGAAGTGGAAAATTGGACGAGAAGGAGGCGGAGAAGAAAAAGAGCATCCTCTTCCCGATCCTCATGCTCATCCTCCTCCTGCCCCTCCTCCTCCTGCTCCTCCTCCTCCTCCACCTCCTCCTCCTTCTCCTCCTCCTTCCTCTCCTCTTCCTGGTCCTTCCTCCTTCCTCCTCCTCCTCCTCCTTCTCCTCCTCCTTCCTCTCCTCCTCCTGTTCCTTCCTCCTCCTCCTCCTAATCACCATCCTCATCAGCATCAGCATCAACGGCAGCAACAACATCAACCGCATCAGCATCATCAACATCATTATCATAATCAGCACCATCATCAGCAGCAGCATCAGCATCATCATCAGCATCCTGAACCTCAGCAGCATCATCATCATAATCACCATCAACATCATCAGCCGCATCATCTGCATCATCAGAAACATAATCATCATCAGCATCATCAGCATCAGCATCATCATCATCCACCTCATCCTCATCCTCGTTACCATCGTCATCATCATCATCATCGTATACATCGTCATCATCGCCATCATCATCAGCAACAACAACATCGTCATACTCAGCATCTTCATCACCGTCACCATCACCATCAGCATCAGCATCATCCTCATCATCATCATCCTCATCTCCATCGTCGCCACCGCCATCATACTCACCAGCAGCAGCACAACCATCATAATCATCATCAGTAGCAGCATCACCATCATCAGCAGCAGCATGATCATCATCATCATCATCAGCATCAACATCATCACCATCATCATCACATCATCATCATCATCATCATCATCATCATCAGCATCATCATCTTCAGCACCAGCACCAGCATCAACAGCATCACCACCACCATCATCACCACCACCACGAGCACCTCCATCATCGTCAGCGTCATCATCAGCAGCATCATCAGCATCAGCATCATCGTAATCGTCATCAACATCACCATCATCAGCGTCAGAATCATCAGCATAATCAGCATAATCATCATCATCATCAGCATCATCATCATCCTCATCATCATCACCATCATCATCATCAGCATCATCATCATTAGCAGCATCATTATCACCTCCAGCATCAGCATCATCAGCAGCATCAAAGGCATCAGCAACATCATGCTCGCCATCAGTATGAGCATCATCGACATCATCATCCGCCTCGTTCCAATCCTCATCCTCATCACCAGCACCAGCATCGTCGTCATCGCCGCCATCACTATCACCATCACCATCACCATCATTGTCATCATGCGCATAATGACCGTCATCATCATCATCACCATCATCAGCATCGCCAGCATCATCCACATCATCATCATCATCATCATCATCATCACCACCATCAGCATCATCCTCATCCTCATCTTCATCATCGGCATCGGCATGGTCATCATCATGGTCATTATCATCACCATCAGCAGCATCGTCATCAGCATCTGCATCATCATCAACCTCATCATCATCGCAATCGGCATAGTCATCGTCATCATCAGCCTCACCACCACCACCATCATCATCATCATCAACATCATCAGCATCGCCTCCATCATCGTCATCATCAGTATCAACATAACCATCAGCAACAGCATCCATACCAGCATCAGCATCAGTATCACCACCATCAGCAACAGCATCATCACCACCACCACCACCATCATCATCACCATCCTCATCATCATCATCATCATCGTTAGCAATTGCATTAGCATCGGCAGCAGCCTCATCAGCATCAACAGCATCAACATCGTCTGTATCGCCATCTCCATTTCAACCATCATCATCATCCGAATATCCTTCATCGTCATAGTTATCTTTATCTTCAGATTCATCTTCATCTTCATCGTCATCGTCATCCTCCTCATCCTCATCATCCTCATCCTCATCCTCCTCCTCCTCAGCATCATCAGAATCATCATCACCGCCTCATCCCTCTTTCCTCCCCTCTGTTCTACCGTCTGGTCCTGTCGTGTCGTCCTCTGCTGTCCCACGCGAGTCCTGCTGCGCTCGCCACGCAGAGCTGCAGGCTGCCGCATCCGCCCCCGTCCTCCTCCTCCTCCTCCAGTCCTCTCGGGAATCGTGGGTGATGGGAGGTTGAGTTGCCTCTTTAGTCGTCATGTTGGCAGTGGGCTGTGCCGGGGATGGCTTGACTTCAGGTCGACTGCGCCACCCGCCCCTTGCCTGCCTGAGCGACACAAAGAGTACGTGCGTTCAGACCCACAGCATGTGCAAAAGCTCCTCCTCCTCCTCCCTCGTCCTCATCCTCCTCCTTCCCTCCCTGCTGCTCTCCTCTCCTCTCCTCTCCTCTTCTCTCCTCTCCCCCTCTCCTCTCCTCTCCATCGCCCCCCCTCCTCCCCTCCCCCTGCCGCCCCCTGCCCACTCCCCGCCTCCCCGCCCCCCCCCCTCTCCCCCCTCCCCCTCTCCCCCCTCCTCCCCTCCTCCCTTCCTCCCCTCCTCCCCTCCTTCCCTCCTCCCTTCCTCCTCCTCCTCCTCCTCCTCGCTCCTCCTCCTCCTCCTCCTCCCTCCTCCTCCTTCTCCTCACCTCTGCTCCTCCTTCTCCCCTCCGCCTCCGCCTCCGCCTCCTCCTCTTCCCTCCACCTCACCTCTGCCTGCCTCCGCCTCCGCCTCCTCGTGCTCCTCCTCCTCCTCCTCCTCCGCCTCCTCCTCCGCCTCCTCCTCCTCCTCTTCGTCCTCCTCCGCCTCCTCCTCCAGTCTCTCTCCGTATGAAGAACTTCTCCCTGTCGCACCCCGGGACCAGTTTTTAGAACGGGCTGGGCGTTTCGCCTGAGACTGCCTCACCATGTATGACCCTGAAGCTTAAATATTGGCAAAAGCTTCACAGATGGAGGGCGGATCGTTTTCAAACTGTGGCTCTCGCCGTAGCGCCGCGCACATTCGTATTAAACAAGTTGCAAGAGTTTCACGGCTTGAGGGCGGGTCGTTTTCAAAATGTGGCTCTCGCCTTAGCGCCGCGCACATTCGCATTAAACAAGTTGCAAGAGCTTCACGGATTGAGGGCGGGTCGTTTTCAAAATGTGGTTCTCGCCTTATCGCCGCGCATATTGCTGATTGAAAACATGCAATAATTTCACGAATTGCCCATGATCGACTTGCTGGAAATGGTGTTCTGGACGGATTCACGATTCTGAGGGTGCAACAGTTACAATGATTCGCGGCTTTGAGGTCCCAGGAACGGCATTATGGTACGATTCAAGATCGTCAAGACGCAACAGTCAGCTTGATCCGTGGCGTTGGAATCCCGAGAGCAATGTTTTGACATGCTTCAGGGTCTTCAAACGGTTGTCTTCCAACGAGGCAGTCCCTCTGTGGAAATGAACCGTTGAAGGGGCATTTGAAGAGAGAGCTTGGAGAAGGGTTTATTAAAACATCGTTGGTGACTCTCGTGTTTACACTGGTCCTCCTCCTCCTCCTCCTCCTCCTCCTCCTCCTCCTCCTCCTCCTCCTCCTCCTCCTCCTCCTCCTCCTCCCTCCTCCTCCTCCTCCTCCTCCTCCGCTCCTCCCCTCCTCCTCCTCCTCCTCCTCCCTCCCTCCTCCTCCTCCTCCTCCTCCTCCTCCTCCCTCCTCCTCCTCCTCCTCCTCCTCCTCCTCCTCCTCCTCCTCCACCTCCTCCTCCTCCTCCTCCTCCCTCTCCTCCTCCTCCTCCTCCTCCTCCTCCTCCTCCTCCTCCTCCTCCTCCGCCTCCTCCTCCTCCTCTCCTCCTCCTCCCTCCTCCTCCTCCTCCTCCTCTCCTCCTCCTCCCTCCTCCTCCTCCTCCTCCTCCTCCTCCTCCTCCTCCTCCTCCCCTCCTCCTCCTCCTCCTCCTCCTCCTCCTCCTCCTCCTCCTCCTCCTCCTCCTAGCCCCTCTGGCCCGAGGGGATCTAAGTGGGGGGCAACAAGAGGCCCCCAGAGCGCCACCGTCGCGCTCTTGACACTCCCCCAGAGTGATGCGCTCGGGCAGCCCCAGCTGATGCAGAACTTAAGAGTATGTTCATACAATGTGCTTTCGCTGAGGCAGGAGGGGAGATGGAACGACATCGCAAGACAGTTGAGATCGTGCCAGGTGATTGGATTGCAAGGTACACAGTGTACGCCAGATTCTCGAGGGCTCGTATGTCAACAAGATCGGCTGGCTCACTTTCATCGATTTCGGTGGCCTCGGGCGTGTGGAGTTGCGGGCCGCCCGACAGGCCTCGCGCTGCTGCTGAGCACCAAGTCCTTCCCCAGCCACACCATCCGCCACGTGACGTCCCCGAAAGGCATGGAGGGCAGGCTGGGCGCGGTGCGGTGCAGAGGAAAAGTCATTGATATGACCTTCGTTGTAGGCTACGCCCCGACTGAGCCCCACGGATCGGCTAAAGAGAGATGTGTACAAGAGAAGAAGTGTAAACAGTTTTGGAAGAGCCTGAACAGTTTGGTAGACACGTTCCCAGCGCGTACCATCCCTATATTCATGATAGATGCGAATGCGAAGCTAGGGGGCAAGCAGGAGTCTAGATATGTTGGAACGTGCGAGCCAGACGATGAGAATTTCAACGGTAGCAGAATGAGGGATTTTCTAGAGCAGCAAGAATTAGCAGCGCTGAACACTTTCTTTGAGACAGGGCCGACTTTTTACCACGGCTCAGGGCTGCACACGTCAAGGATTGACTATGTGTGCGCGCCCGCGGTAGTTAGATCATATACGGAGTCGTGCGAGGTGTGGGGGAGGGCGGGCGAGAAATTGCAGATAATTCACACACGCACGCGCAGGGACCACTACCCTCTTGTGCTCAGGTTTATAGTAGGGCCCTGTTTCGAGATGTGCAAGCAAGCGCCGTCGTGCTGGAACCACGATGCGATTTCGCGCGCCGTGAGGTTTGGTCAGGGGTCGGAAGAGTTTCTGAACCAGGTCGAGCGAGAGCTCGAAGTAGTAGCACCGAGAGTGCAAGAGCTCAGTGTGCAGAGTGCTTATGCAATGTATAACAAAATGCATGAAGTAGTGGAATCAGTGGCTCGCGTGTATTTTAAAAGGGAATCCAAGCAGGACTCGAGGCCCTCTGACACTACGCAAGCCCTGCAAGACAGAATCAGGGATCGTAAGTTGCTTAGGGACTTGAAGAGTGTCCCCATCGATCCCCTTCCTCCTCTCCCTCTCCCCAGTGTGCTGTGCACCGCGTTTTGTAAGTTTAGCGGACGTGGGGTACATGAGTTTCTGTCGCCACATTTCCTCGGGCGTATGTGCTACGCATCACGTGCATGTCTAGAGATGTATGAACCCAGTGCGTGTCTGGCAGCAGTCATAGCTAGGTGTAGGGAACGTGACAAAAAGGTTCGACTCCAGTTGCGCCCGGATAGATCTAGGCGCATGGGGCTATATGTGAGAGAATTAGAAATTGCGAAGAGTGAAGGAGACACGGCGCTCTGTTGGAAACTGTCCAGACTTTTAGCGAAGAACAACTTAGGACCTAAGCAACGCAACTTCTGTGCCCCCAAGACTCGATTAGAAATGAGCACGTGGCGCACTTTTTTGGAGCAGCAAGGTAGCAAGGGTGGATTCGCGGCGAGGCCCCCTGCGCAGGAGGAGGAGCAAGCGCGAAGGGCAGCCAGGCCCGCGTGCACCTCGCTCACGCCCGACACACTTGCCAGAGCGAATGATGACTTTGAAAGCCTGAGAAGGCAGCTGTTGTCGGCCCGTCTGAGACGGACGCCGCCAGCCTGGAGTTTTCCCGCAGGAGTGTGGAGGCTGATGATGAATCCCAACGAATATAAGTACTCGCGAGGCGAGGCCTTGGAGAAATATGAAAATGTAGAGGACTGGTATTTCCCATGTATCACCAAGTGCATTGTGTGGATTTGCACGGCCATCAGGATGCATTCCGAGACGCCGCTGCAGTGGCATCGTAGCCACGCTTTCTCGCTGGATAAGCTCAATGGAAAAAGTGAATGCAAGGGCCAGAGGCTTGTGCATTCGCTCGACGCACTCGGCAAAGCCTACTGTGCTCAGCTCTGGCGTGCATACCCAGCATTGACTGCGCAGGCCGATCGGCCATACGCGTTCGGTTATCTTCGGGGGAGGCGGCGGGAGGAGGCGACTCTTGTGCAGAACGCTTGCGCTGCTAGGCTGCACGGCTCTAAGATAGGCAGAGTAACAACATTGTACGACGCTACGAATGCTTTTCACAGTATCCATCATGAGAGGCTGAAAGCGCATGTGCGCGCGCACTGTGACGAGTTCGGGGCTAAGTTGCTGGAGCAGAGGCTGGACTACGCACAGGTGATGATTGAGTGCGTGGATGGGGACCTCCAGGCGAGCATCGGGCAAGGCACACTCCCTGGAGACACGGTCGCATGCATACGGTTCCTGGGGTCCTACAACACCGCGATCGATCGGTTTCGGGATTCTGACGCCAGCGGGATCTATGTGCAGATCAAGTGGCTTCGGCACTGCCTAGCAGCAGATGACGAGGCCAGGCAGCGCCTTGGGGCCCTGTCGAGAGAGTTTTTCGACATTTCTGTCTCCAGCTTCTCAGACGACATCGCTCGTACGTCGGCCGTGGAAGACGCAGCTCACTGCAGGCTGCGCACGAATGCTCAGTTCATGCACCTCGATGCGGAGCTATGGGAGGAGGGGGTAGCGCTGAACGGGGACAAGCAGGTGTCATTGGTGCAGCTGGAGGGGAGAGGCATACAGCACGGGATGAGGAGGCTGTACAGGGACAAGGACGTAATGAAGGGAGAGGTACAGAGAGCGGCGAGGAATCTGGGTGGCCAGCTACATTTCCAAGGAGGATCGAAACCAGAAGTCGAGTATCGTGTCAGGAGGGCAAAACAAACGTTCGCAGTCCTAGGGAGTTTCTGGAGCGAAGTGACGAATGAAAGGTGGAGGGGCGTCATTTTCAAGAGCATGATCGACGCCTCGCTCTTATCGGAGGTGATCGCGCACCCTCTTCCTGAGGCGGAGCTCAGAAGATTGAGGGCGTGCAGGCGAAACTAGCTAGAAAAGCTCTACAGGGCAAGGGGTGTCTCAAGGTTGAAGCGACGGAGCTGAGGGCCAAACACCACGCTGCCTTGCCCAACTCTAAGGTTCGGGAACTTCTGCGAATCCGCACGCCCTTCAGCCTGCTGCGAGCGCAGAGGATCAGCTGGTGGCAAGAAATCATTCGAAATCCTGAGAGACATGTCTTATTTATCGCTACGCTGTTCGGCTACGCTGCTTGGGACCAGCACAACCTGTGTGACGAGATGGGCTTCTCAGCGAGGGCCCCTGGAGGGAGTTCGGTGCAGCCGTGGTGGAACCAGCTGCTACTCGATCTTTCTGCCTGTGTTGAGTTCCTACAGATGCCAGACATTCTGCCCGCGCTTGTGGAACGCCCAGTCGCGCTTTTTTGTGATGCTGAAGTGCGGGAGGCAGTACTAAAGGTGTCGGTTGAGAAGCTGAAGAGGGCGACGGGGGGACCTAGAGTCTACGCGGATATCTCGGAGAGGCTGATGGAGGAGGTGACGGTAGGAAGGAACAGAAGAGGAAGTGGAGGAGAACTACCTGTCGAGGGAGAGGTGGGAGGAGCTGAGCAGGAGGTACCACGGGAGGGAGACGAAGAGCCAGATCCTGCGGCACTTCAGCCAGAATTGCCCGAGCCGCCCACTCCCGCACCACACGTGTGCGACATCGAGGGCTGTGGCCTGGGCTTCGACACGCGTCGCCAGCTACTGCTGCATCAGTCTAACTCAAAAGCAGAAGGACACGGAAAAAAGCAGCTGGCAAAAATACTTACTATATCTAACAAATGCATCGTGTGCAACAACTTTTATACGACAAAACGATATGCGTCGGAACACTTGGATCAAGCCATTAAGAAAGGAAAATGTCCGAGGTCGAGGGGGTCAGTCACGGTACACCAACATGTTGCCGACCCCCCTTACTGGTGCGAACTGTGTAGTGAGGAGTTCGCCACGTACGAAGTGGCGAGAGCGCATATGCTAACACATCTACCCTGTTGACCGTGCCTCAGAGGTGCGGTGTGCGTGTGAATTCGTCGATGTCTGGCTCGAGTGCTTCGGTCGCGGTCTTGTGCTCACCAGGCTGTGAGTGCCCATTGTCCAAGGTGCTGTGCTGTTCGGCCGATGTGGAAGGAACAGTTCGCGCATGCAGGACCTGGTGACGCTGCAGCTGAGCCACAAGGTCGCTCTGTGAAGTACCGCCAGATTGAATGCACGGAGGACAAGCAAAAGATCGACTTAGCGCTGAAGCTGGGGGTGATCGCTAATCAGAAGGCCAGGCTGCTGGCCGCAGCGTGCACGGTAGAGATCGAGATGCTAGTGGAGGGCGAGATCGAGATGCTAGTGGAGGGCCCCATCATGAGGGCCATGGCCAAGGCCCACGCAGAGGAGTACCTGCCGAGGGTCAAAGGGAAGGCTGGACATGGGTTGGGGGCACCAGACTCATTCTTGCTGACGGCGGCGATCATCACCATGCTGGAGTCGTGCGAGGAAAGGTTCAAGGCTCCGCTGAAGGAGTACTTGGACAAGTTCAAGCCAGGGTCGAAGGAGGCACAGCACATTGTGGGCCTCTTCCGCACTGAGAAGATGTACGACAGCAAGAAGAAGCGCCTCATCATCGGAATGAAAGATGAGAAGTTCGAGAAGATCCTCGTGGGCGCCATCGAGTCCGTGGAGAAGCGTGAGGCATTCTCGGGGCCGAGGCCGCCTGGACACTTAGAGCTGGAAGGCCAGAAGGTCCTCGAGGTTGGCCGCTAGCTGAGGATCGACAGCGACCGCGAGTGGTCCAAGGACCTTGAGTGGATCATAGGTGCGACGCCCGTCATTGATGATTGCCATGTGTGGTTCAGGGACCGCGAGTGGATCATAGGTGTGACGCCCGTCGACGATGATTGCCACGGGTGGTTCAGGGACACTGAGTGGATCATAGGTGCGCCGCCCTCCTCGCATGATTGCCGCGTGTGGATCGGTTTCGTTGGGGAGGGTACCTCCATCGTGCGCCTCGAGACCTGAGCCTGCTGATGAAGGCGCCGTGTGCTGCTGCCGCCGTCCCTCTTCTCTCCGCCCCACCTAACTTTTTGGGCAGCGAACTTTTTCTTTGGGCCTCGAATTAGGGTTCTGTGTTTGGGTGCGTTCTGAATTAGAAATCCTGTCTAGGCTAAGTGTCTGTGCGAGTTTTCGGTCCCCTCCTGCTTCCTCGTCGTGTCTGGTCGTCTCTCTCGCTTTCTCGCCCTTCCCGCTCCTTCGGCCCTCGGGCTCTCCTCCCCCCTCGGGGGCGCTCCCTCGGTGCCTGCGCTCCCCTCCCTTGGGGGGGGTGCGGGGGCGCCTTGGTAGCGCGCCCGCTCGC